TTGCCCGGGGGCCCCCATGAGTTGTCAGTCCTGCCCCTGCACAGAGAATAATAACTGGATCAGGGGCGGACTGACTATTTGGAAACTCGGGCACTGCCCGAGGGCCCGGGGTCAGTAGCAGGGGGCCCCATGAGATGCCCCTGGTACCTTTTTCATAGGCTTTTTTGAGTTTGGGCAAGGACACAGGGGCCCCATGATCCCCCTATTGCCCGGGGGCCCCATGTCAGTCTGCCCCTGCACAGATATAACTGGATCAGGGGCGGACTTATTTGGAAACTCGGGCACTGGCCCGGGGCCCGGGTCAGAGGGGGCCCCTTGAGATGCTGTCTAGGCTTTTTTGAGTTGGGGCAAGGAACACAGGGCCCATGATCCCACTATTGCCCGGGGGCCCCATGAGTTGTCAGTCCGCCCCTGAACTGGATATAACATTTATAGGGAAAGTTGATCCAGGGAATATCCGATTTCCTCTCGGGGGGATCAGGAAGGAATTTTTCCCCCTGCAGGAGGAGATTGGATCGTGCTCTTTGCTGGGGTTTTTTTCGCCTTCCTCTGGATCCACTGTGGTGCGAGCGGGGACTCTAACTTTTTTTTTTTTTTTTCTCTATAGGTTGAACTGGATGGACTTTTGTCTTCTTTCAGCCAGACTAACTATGTAACTATATGTAACATATCAGTGTACATGAAATAAAGACCCTCACAACATCAGTTATATATATAAAAAACATTTATTTTAATAAAAGTAAAATTCTCAGTACCAAGCAATTAAATATCAGTACAAAAGTCTTTGCACTTCCCATGAAGATTCGGCTCAGGCAGAGCACAAGCCTTGTAAACATCTCTTAATATGGGGGGGGGGGGGGTACCTGGCAGTCCTGGGGCGACAGGCTGGGGTCGTAATCCGGGACGGTTTGGGGGGGTTTGGGGGGGGGGGGGGGTCCTATGATCGGGCTGAGGATATCAGTGCAGACCCCTCGGAAAACCCGCAGGATAAACATGACAGACCTACAATCTATACTATCCAGGGACACCAATAATATGGCCAGAGAGACGCAGCCTCTGCGACCACCCTCATGCGTCTCAGTCTTACGCTATGGTTGTATTGATACATATATATATTTTTTTTTTTTTTTATATATATATTGGCATTCCTATTTCATTTTAATAAAGTAAATAATAATTTTATGAAAACATTTTTTTATATAAAAAAGGGTCAGATTAGATCAATATTATAAATGATAGAAATAAGTTGGGTTTCCATCCTTGGAAGTTTCTTCCTCTCGCAGGACAGACACGACTATTAAGGCTCATGCCTGGTGGCCCATGTGATGTACAATATACGGCCGCGTTCCACCCCCACGGGGAGCCACTGGTGTTGTGTACCAGTCAGTGACACGGTATGGCTGTGCGCGGGTACGCGCAGCTCTGAGCGTCAGAACACGCAAGTGCCACCCTGACATAGGTGGCCTGCATTCGGGGCTGTACGCCCCTATGCGTGTGCGTGTTTCACACCTTCCAGTGTATGCCCACGTACAGCCGTATCCTGAGATTTATCAGTACAGGGGTGTACGGTGACGCATCGCCTGCGACTCCCAAAGTACGGCCACATTTCACGTTACATGGCCCAATGCACCCATGCGTGAGCTCTTAATATTCGCCAAATCCTATAGAACTTCAAGAACTTACAGCCTTATAGAAATGAAATGTAGAAAAAACATAAAAAAACTTTTTTTTACCTAACCTATACCCTCACCGGCCACTTTGTTAGGTCCACCTGTTCAATGGCTTGCAAACACAAATGGCTAATCAGCCAATCACATGGCAGCAGCTCAATGCATTGAGCCATCTAGACGTGGTGAGGACAACTTGCTGAAGCTCAAACCGAGCGTCAGAATGGGGAAGAAAGGGGATTTAAGTGACCTTGAATGTGGCGTGGTCGTTGGTGGCAGACGGGCTGGTCTGAGTATTTCAAGAACTGCCGATCTACGGGGATTTTCACACGCCCAACCATCTCTAGGGAAATCCAGACTCATCAGACCAGGCAATGTTTTTCCAGTCTTCTGTTGTCCAGTTTTGGTGATCCTGTGTGAATTGTAGCCTTCGTTTCCTGTTCTTGGCTGACAGGAGTGGCACCCGGTATGGTCTTCTGCTGCTGTAGCCCATCTGCTTCAAGGTTGGACGTGTGCGTTCAGAGATGGTATTCTGCATACCTTGGGTGTAACGAGGGGTTATTTGAGTTACTGTTGCCTTTCTATCATCTGGAACCAGTGCTCATGCCCATTCTCCTCTGACCTCTGACATCAACAAGGCATTTTCTTCCTGCCACTGCCACTGCCACTCACTGGATATTTTCTCTTTTTTGGACCATTCTCTGTAAACCCTAGAGATGGTTGTGGGTGAAAATCCCAGTAGATCACAGTTTTTGAAATACTCAGACCAGCCCCTCTGGCACCAACAACCATGCCACGTTCAAAGTCACTTATTTATTCCCCATTCTGATGCTCGGTTTGAACTTCAGCAAGACATCTCCACCACATCTAGATGCCTAAATACATTGAGTTGCTGCCGTGTGATTGGCTGATTAGCAATTTGTGTTACCGAGCCATTGAACAGGTGGAACTAATAAAGTGGCCGGGGAGTGAATCATGGTATCTGCTGCATAGCCATTTTTTTTTTTTTTTCGTTCAGTATATTTCTTTTTTTTTTTTTTAGAAATTTTAGAAGAGGCGGAGACTTTAAAGCCTGACTTACCTTTAAAGCCTGACTTGACTTTAAGTTTTAATTCACCAAATGCATTGCATTCCAGGTGTATCAAAAACAAAAGGGGTGCAAACTACAGTATGAAAAGCCTGTCCCCAACTATGGGGGAAGCAGAGGTCTCTCTCCAGAGTTCATTCATACCTCCGGCTGAGCCAGAGCAAGTCTTCAGCACCTAATATGGGTCTTGCTGTTTGGAGTTCTCTAGTTCTGACTTAGCATGGTTAATGTTAGACCTCTGCAGAGAGACCACTGTTTTCATGCAAAGGTATGCTGGCAGGGGGCAGCCTTTTCTACCCAGCCTGTGGCTACTTTCTAAAAAACAAAAATAATCCATAAGACTTTGCACAGCTGTTTTGATGCATGAATGTAGTCAAACTAAAAGTTCAATTGGGCTTTACATTTTTTTCCATTGTGAATACAGTAAAGGAGGGGTATAATCCCTGTCAGTAATTTTTTTTTGTCATCTGTGTCCCATTGGGGAGATTTCCCTTTACTTCCTGTCCCATAAACAAAACTGGAAGTGAGAGAAAATCCCTCCAAAGTGAAGGAATGCTTCCAAAGTGAAGGAATGCTTCCAAAGTGAAGGAATCCCTCCAAAGTGAAGGAATCCCTCCAAAGTGAAGGAATGCTTCCAAAGTGAAGGAATCCCTCCAAAGTGAAGGAATGCTTCCAAAGTGAAGGAATCCCTCCAAAGTGAAGGAATGCTTCCAAAGTGAAGGAATATCTCCAAAGTGAAGGAATGCTTCCAAAGTGAAGGAATCCCTCCAAAGTGAAGGAATGCTTCCAAAGTGAAGGAATCCCTCCAAAGTGAAGGAATCCCTCCAAAGTGAAGGAATGCTTCCAAAGTGAAGGAATGCTTGGTTTTTTTATCGGAGTCACCTTTACTAAGGCCACAGAAAGTAATAGTAAAATCAAAATGTTACACGTTCCAACCAAACCAGGAACATCGTGGACATCTTCCAATCTAGATTCACTTGGGGGTCATTTTTATGAACATGTTCACGGAAGATTCACACAACCTTCACCCAGGATTCACACTTTTATTTCAATTGAACCCAACTGTGAAACTTGAGGAATGTTATAACTAGACCCCTTAAAGTGCTCTTACTGTAATCTCTATGGGCAAAGTTGGTTAGCTTCAAGTAAATTCTCGGATATACTGACATCTTCAATACCAACAAGTTTCTGCATTCATAATGTGTAATATTCACAGGTCCTTTAACAGAAACCATGACAGACTGGAAATGTATCTAATTGGTTGGTCCATGGAGGACTCATGGTCCATTTTATTGTATGCTTAAGATGTATCCTCAAAGATCATCATTTGTCAACAGGACATGAGGCACAACTTTGTCCTTGTACATGACCACTGATGAGGTGGACCTTTTGAGATGTTTCACATCCTCTACATGTAGCCTGGGCAGTAACAACAAGAACATTTATCCAAAAAGCCACCCTTTGTGTGGGGTTTGTAGGCCAAAAAAGGTGAAGTTAAGAAGGTATCTAGTAGTAGTAGTTAGTCAAATTCAACTAGACGTGTTCTGTAATGTTGAAGACATTTAGCTACGAGTTGTGAAACGTCTTGAAGATTACAAGAGTAGAATGTGACTTACACCTACTAGCTATACCACAACCAGAGTATAAATGAGAACCTTCACAAACATCTTATTATAGAAAATTATGAAGGTATGAAATAAAACAATAATTATGATCAACGTTTGCGGACATCACTGGAATTCAATAATATGTGTTCCGAAATAAGGCCTTTTGAAAGAAGGGAATGTCCATTTTTTTGATAGACAGACAGTCAATTTCCAAGGATTCTGTAAGATTTCATCAGTGGTCCCACAAGTCTAGGTTGATTATGGAGAACATAACATCTACCTCAGAAGAAGAAGAAGTTTATTCCTAGAAAACTTCCAGTATGACAGACAACCCTTCAAGATATCCTTCCATAAGTCACATCTGGAGACATTATCCTAGGGTTCAGTGCTATTATTACAGAGGTGGCTGAGAAAGCCAGGAAGACCACGGGTCTGGGGGTTCCTTTCAGTGCAGTACACCACAACATGGACTCATGGATGTTTGAAGGTAGTCACATCTCTAACCTCTCAGCGATGTCCATCCAATCTGAAAATATGTCATTCAAGGATCTGAAGGGGTAATCTCATCCTAATAGTGCAAATGTCAGGACGCTGCCCCTCCTAGCCCTTGGCAGAGGAAAATCACAAGTACCTTGCATGTCATTGTTTCTGGAGGAATGCCGCTGCCGCTGCTTGAACTTTGCTTCCTGGCTTTGGCCTAAGAACACAGAGTAAGAGACAATGAGACAGATGAAGCTCAAGTACATGTGTACCTTGAACAAACCTATGACTAAGCGTGGTATATGGCTTTGAGGAGCTCAGTACCTACCAGTGGTGTCCTTTAAGCTGGGTGGCGGATTCAGTGATGGGAGGTTTACTGTTGGCCGGTGTCATGACAAGACAAGTAAACAGTCCTTCTTCTGGATTGGGTTTCCAGGCAGCGGCTTCCGAGGAGGATTTAACTGGATAGAGAACAACAGAATCGCTTAATATATTTTTACTGGAAAAAATGTGGCATTCATACAATCGCTTAGACTTGAGATTACCACAAAAAAATAGCAATAACAATAACAATCTCCCCAGAAACTATAAAACAATTAAACAGTGATCAAAAAGATATGACAATTGTATGACTTGATTTCAGACTCAAGAATCCGCTTGAATTGGTAGGATTCAGAAAATCAAGTTAAGAGCCAAAGTGGGCTTTCAGTTTAAAAAGTGTGATATATATAATTCCATAGGGGGGAGCCTTTGCTGAGAAGTGAGGTAAGGGTTTACATAAACCACCTTTTCAAAATTTTAAGATAAAAATAGAGGGTATCTAAAAAAAAAGAGTCTAAAAGAGAACAGAAGAGGGGTGGAGAGAGGCAAAAAGGGAGGGGAAGGAAGAGTAGAAGGCAAAGTTTCCGATGGAATGGTCCAACCAGCTGTTCTTAGCTGCCAGTATAGCCAACATAATTCCAAAGAAAGGGCAAGATCTCAGAAGAATCAACAACATCAGTCCATGAAGACCATGAGTCTTTACATTTGATGAAATTATCGTTGGCAATTGCCAGCATCTCCTCCATTTACTCCAATGGAGTTCAGTTCAGTAACCCATTCTTGAATGGATGGTTCAGTGGGGGACTTCCAGTGCCTAGGAATTAGGGCATGACCAGCTATTAAAAAGAATCAGAATATATTCTTCTTAATATGTTTAATCGTTCCAGGTATCATGGAAAGGAGGGCCAGTGTAGCCAACATAATTCCTAAGAAAGGGCAAGATCTCAGAAGAATCAACAAAATCAGTCCATGAAGACCACGAGTCTTTAAATTTGATGAAATTATCGTTGGCAATTGCCAGCATCTCCATTTGCTCCAATGGAGTTCAGTTCAGTAACCCATTCTTGAATGGATGGTTCAGTGGGGGATTTCCAGTGCGTAGGAATTAAGGCATGACCAGCTATTAGAAAGAATCAGAATAGATTCTTCTTAATATGTTTAATCGTTCCAGGTATCATGGAAAGGAGAGCCACCTCCTGGTGTTTCTGGCCACGCCCTGCCCGTTAGAAGATGACTTAAATGAAAGTCTTATTTTAGAGCAAGACCACCATATGTGGAGTTGTGCACCAAGAGAACAGCAGAATTACAGAAACGAAACAGACATATATTGAACAAAATTTAAATTAGAATTACTGAGGCCACCCATGGCAGTCTTGGCCTAGTGGTGAATCAAGCCCTGATCTTGAAGATCTCACTGCTGGAGTCATCAAGAAGTAAAAGAAGCTAAAAAAAAACTAAGCCCCCTTCCCCACTCCCATACACTACTTATGATATGACTTTTTGGGTGGATGAACGCTTTGACTTTTTCTTGATGAATGAATGGACAGCAAAAAAGTACCTGCGGAGTGCAGACAGGTCAGGTAGGCAGTGATTTTTTTGGAGGTAGAAGCTTGGTGAGCTGGCTCTCCTAATTGGCCTAGTGGCCAATCAGGCCCTGATCTTAAAGATCTCACTGCTGGAGTCATCAAGAAGTAAAAGAAGCTAAAAAAAACAAAAAAACTAAGCCTCCCATCCCACCCCACCCTGGACTCTACTAATGATATGACTTTTTGGGTGGATGGACTCTTTGACTTTTTCCAGAAGGATGAATGGACAGCTCAAAGCACCTGTGGAGTGCAGACTGGGCAGGTGGACAGTGTTTTTTTTTTGAAGGTAGAAGGTGGTGAACTGGCTCTCCTAATTGGCTTAGTGGTGAATCAATTTCTGATCTTAAAGATTTCCCTGATGGAGTCATCAAGAAGTAAAGGAAGCTAAAAAAAAGACTAAGCCCCCCCCCCCCCCCCACCCCACCCCTGGACACTACTTGTGATATGACTTTTTGGGTGGATGGACTCTTGACTTTTTCTTGATGGATGAATGGACAGCTCAAAGTACCTGCAGAGTGTGGACAGGGCATTTGGGCAGTGGTTTCTTTGGAGGTAGAAGCTTGGTGAGCTGGCTCTCCTGTTCGGCCAATTGATGAATCAGGCCCTGATCTTGAAGATCTCACTGCTGGAGCCATCAAGAAGTAAAAGAAGCTAAAAAAAAAAAGACTAAGCCCCTCACCCCACCCCCCGGACACTACTTGTGATATGACTTTTTGGATGGATGGACTCTTTTGACTTTTTCTTGATGGATGAATGGACAGCTCAAAGCACCTGCGGAGTGTGGACAGGGCATTTGGGCAGTGGTTTCTTTGGAGGTAGAAGCTTGGTGAGCTGGCTCTCCTGTTCAGCCAATTGATGAATCAGGCCCTGATCTTGAAGATCTCACTGCTAGAGCCATCAAGAAGTAAAAGAAGCTAAAAAAAAAAAAAGACTAAGCCCACACCCCACCCGGGACTCTACTAATGATATGATTTTTTTTTTTGGGTGGATGCACTCTTTGACTTTTACCAGATGGATGAATGGACAGCTCAAAGTACCTGTGGAGTGCGGACAGGACAGTTGGGCAGTGGTTTCTTTGGAGGTAGAAGCTTTTTGAGCTGGCTCTCCTCTTTTGCCGGAATGATGGGTGATGATTTGACTGGTGGAGGTGGTCTGGATGGCTTCAGCTGTATGAAGGATTTGGTCGTCTGGCTGGAGGGCGGGTGTAGAGGGCGCACGATGTTGACCGGCTGAGAACTGCTTGTTGACGCACTGCTTTTTCCATGAAAGACGCCCCAAGAGCTCTGTGTGGATGGAGAGTAACATTAATAAAAATTATCAAGCAGGAAATCATGTATTCGTCCCACTCCATAACAGGCAGGTCAAATATAAATGATGCAGTGACCCAATTAATCGGAATTAGTCCTCAAGTGCCCTGTTATATCTTCTGGGGGTGACCAAGCTGTATTGCTTAACTGCAAAAGAGAAAAATCAGGTCCCTGGTCTGTGAGACAAAAAAAATGTAAGCTGGCCCAGGGTGGCCCCTCCCAGGATAACTGGGCATGCCTCAGGTTTTTACTAGTGTTCTAGGAGGATGGACATCTCTACTTTAGCTCTAATGGGAAAAGACCAATCTATTTTTTACTGGCACTATTTTTTTCTCCATTAAGACATTGCTGCTTGAGCTGGTCACTATAGCCTAAGAAGTGCCACTTGATTGGACATTGACAGTATAGCCTGCAAGTGACCTTCAGACAATGGGTTCCATGTAAGGAGCTTTCCAGTGCCCGTTCCAGTGATGGGTTAGCTGTAGAATGCTTTCCAGGTTTAGAGCCATTGGCCATGATGCGGTAGCTCCTGATGCTCAGCCTGATCGGCATACTCATTTCAGAGCAAGTCTTCAGCGTCGGGGCAGGCGCTAAGGCACGGGTGTCAAACTGGCTGACCTCCAGCTGTTGCCAAACAACAAATCCCATGAGGCATTGCAAGATTGACAGTTACAAACATGACTCCCAAAGGCAGTGGCATGATGGGACTTGTAGTGGGACCCCGCATTAACTATATCCACTCTCCCCGGACCCCGCATTCGCTGGATGGAGACCTGACACCGTGCATTCCACGTGTAGTAACGGACTACTACTGACTAAGAACAAAGTGTCTAAATCCAGACAACTTTCGAATGCTCCATACACCCACTCCGCATAAGACATGCGGTGCAGGAAAGGAACACCCAGAGCCCCACCCACCTCTTTATACACCTCTAAGTTAAAGGGGCACTGAAGCAAGAAGTGGTCCATAGTCTCCATTTCACCCCCACACTCCGACCTCGGACAACCACGGTCACCCGGAGGACGGTACTTCAAGTTACCCCTTAAGTAGAGCCTACCATGGAAAGCGAGCCAGGCCTGATTCACTATATCCGCTCTCCCCGGACCCTGCATTCACTATATCTGGTCTCCCCGGACCCCGCATTCACTATATCCGCTCTCCCCGGACCCTGCATTCACTATATCCGCTCTCCCCGGACCCTGCATTCACTATATCCGGTCTCCCCGGACCCCGCATTCACTATATCCGGTCTCCCCGGACGCCGCATTCACTATATCCGCTCTCCCCGGACCCTGCATTCACTATATCCGCTTTCCCCGGAGCCTGCATTCACTATATCCGCTCTCACTGGACCCCGCATTCACTATATCGCTCTCCCCGGACCCCGCATTCACTATATCCGCTCTCCCCGGACCCCGCATTCACTATATCCCGTCTCCCCGGACACTGCATTCACTATATTCGCTCTCCCCGGATCCCGCATTCACTATATCCGCTCTCCCCGGACCCCGCATTCACTATATCCGCTCTCCCCGGACCCCGCATTCACTATATCCGGTCTCCCCAGACCCCGCATTCACTATATCCGCTCTCCCCGGACCCCACATTCCCTATATCCGCTCTTCCCGGACCCCGCATTCACTATATCCGCTCTCCCCGGACCCCGCATTCACTATATCCGCTCTCCCCGGACCCCGCATTCACAATATCTGCTCTCCCCTGACCCTGCATTCACTATATCCGCTCTCCCTGGACCCCGCATTCACTATATCCGCTCTCCCCGGACCCCGCATTCACTATATCTGCTCTCCCCGGACCCCGCATTCACTATATCCGCTCTCCCCGGACCCCGCATTCATTATATCCGCTCTCCCCGGACCCCGCATTCATTATATCCGCTCTCCCCGGACCCCGCATTCACAATATCTGCTCTCCCCTGACCCTGCATTCACTATATCCGCTCTCCCCGGACCCCGCATTCACAATATCTGCTCTCCCCTGACCCTGCATTCACTATATTCGCTCTCCCCGGACCCCGCATTCACTATATCCGCTCTCCCCAGACCCCGCATTCACAATATCTGCTCTCCCCTGACCCTGCATTCACTATATCCTCTCTCCCCGGACCCCGCATTCACTATATCCGCTCTCCCCGGACCCTGCATTCACTATATCCGCTCTCCCCGGACCCCGCATTCACTATATCCGCTCTCCCCGGACCCCGCATTCACTATATCCGCTCTCCCCGGACCCCGCATTCACTATATTTCCATTTGTGTATGTGATAAAGTTCACAATCATGGCTTTTAGCGGTTATGTTACCTTCTGTGCGGCCGGCGGGGCAGCAGATGGGGGAACGGTGCGCTGCGTGAAGATTGTTTTGGACTGAGCGCGCGGCTGCTGCTGGCGAGGAGGGTTACCCATTCTGCGAGAAAACAAATCACCATTAGAAGGTGTTTAGTACATCTACATATTATGTGGCTAAGGGGGTCCTGACAGCCCCGGGGCCCATAAGCTGCAGGAGGTCCAGTATTAGGCCTCTCTCACAGGGGCGCTTCTTCTGCCGCTTGTAAATACAGTTTTTTTGAAATTCCAACACTCCTGGCACAGAGATCAGCTGCGTTTGTACATTGCGTTTACATGCGGCTGCGTTTAGTAAATTCTTGCCTTTTCTATAGAAACTGTTTACTTTTTTTTTTTGTACTGCAACTAACTGCGTTTATGTACGGATAGCTGCGGTACATCGCTCCTGGACGCTGTCAACTTTATTTTTCCTAAACGCATAAAACCGTATGAAAACATCGCTATACGTGGTGTGTGAATGGAGCCATAGGGATGCATTGTCTGCATTTAGCTGCGGTAAATAAGTTCCTCTAAAAGCAGCTAAAAGCTGAAATCTAACCGCCCGACCCACATGGAAGAAAAATATTGTTTAAATATATCCTAAAAATATTCTTCCCAAATATATTGACATATATTTGAAATACTACAATTTTGGCCGTATTCAATATATTAAAAAAAAAAAAAGTATATATATATATATACACACACACACACACATATATATATATCTATATATACACACATACAGTCAGGTCCATAAATATTGGGACACAATTCTAACATTTTTGGCTCTAAACACCACCACAATGGATTTGAAATGAAACAAACAAGATGTGCTTTAACTGCAGACTGTCAGCTTTAATTTTAGGGTATTTACATTCAAATCAGGTGAACGGTGTAGGAATTACAACAGTTTGCATATGTGCCTCCCACTTATTAAGGGACCAAAAGTAATGGGACAATTGGCTTCTCAGCCGTTCCATGGCCAGGTGTGTGTTATTCCCTCATTATCCCAATTACAATGAGCAGATAAAAGGTCCAGAGTTCATTTCAAGTGTGCTATTTGCATTTGGAATCTGTTGCTGTCAACTCTCAAGATGAGATCCAAAGAGCTGTCACTATCAGTGAAGCCATCATTAGGCTGAAAAAACAAAACAAACCCATCAGAGAGATAGCAAAAACCTTAGGCGTGGCCAAAACAACTGTTTGGAACATTCTTAAAAAGAAGGAACGCACCGGTGAGCTCAGCAACACCAAAAGACCCGGAAGACCACGGAAAAGAACTGTGGTGGATGACCGAAGAATTCTTTCCCTGGTGAAGAAAACACCCTTCACAACAGTTGGCCAGATCAAGAACACTCTCCAGGAGGTAGGTGTATGTGTGTCAAAGTCAATAATCAAGAGAAGACTTCACCAGAGTGAATACAGAGGGTTCACCACAAGATGCAAACCATTGGTGAGCCTCAAAAACAGGAAGGCCAGATTAGAGTTTGCCAAACGACATCTAAAAAAGCCTTCAAAGTTCTGGAACAACATCCTATGGACAGATGAGACCGACATCAACTTGTACCAGAGTGATGGGAAGAGAAGAGTATGGAGAAGGAACTGCTCATGATCCGTCCATACCACCTCATCAGTGAAGCATGGTGGTGGTAGTGTCATGGTGTGGGCATGTATGGCTGCCAATGGAACTGCTTCTCTTGTATTTATTGATGATGTGACTGCTGACAGAAGCAGCCGGGTGAATTGTGAAGTGTTTCGGGAATATTATCTGCTCATATTCAGCCAAATGCTTCACAACTCATTGGACGCTTCACAGTGCAGATGGACAATGACCCAAAGCAGACTGCAAAAGCAACCAAAGAAGTTTTTAAGGGAAAGAAGTGGAATGTTCTGCAATGGCCAAGTCAATCACCTGACCTGAATCCGATTGAGCATTTCACTTGCTGAAGACAAAACTGAAGGGAAAATGCCCCAAGAACAAGCAGGAACTGAAGACAGTTGCAGTAAAGGCCTGGCAGAGCATCACCAGGGATGAAACCCAGCGTCTGGTGATGTCTATGCGTTCCACACTTCAGGCTGTAATTGACTGCAAAGGATTTGCAACCAAGTATTAAAAAGTGAAAGTTTGATTTATGATTATTATTCTGTCCCATTACTTTTGGTTCCTTAACAAGTGGGAGGCACATATGCAAACTGTTGTAATTCCTACACCGTTCACCTGATTTGGATGTAAATACCCTCAAATTAAAGCTGACAGTCTGCAGTTAAAGAACATCTTGTTCGTTTCATTTCAAATCCATTGTGGTGGTGTATAGAGCCAAAAATGTTAGAATTGTGTCGATGTCCCAATATTTATGGACCTGACTGTATATATATATATATATATATATATATATACACAATATATATATTTATTTCTATCCATTTTTTATATTTATATATATCTATATGTATATATAGATATAAAAAAATATATATATTGTGTATATATATATATATATGTATATATATATATATATATATGTGTGCATGTATATATATCTATATTTTTTATATATATATATATATATATATATGTGTGTGTGCGTATATAGATTATATACACATACACACACATTATATATATATATTATATATATACACAAAAAATATATATATTTATATCTATATACATACATATATATATATATATATATATATATAAAAATAGATATAAATAAATAGATATATGTGTGTATGTATATATATATCTATATACATACATATATATATATATATATATATATATATATATATATATATATATATACATACATACACATGCTGTATGTTGAACTGCGTTTTTTTTTTAGATATTACAAAATATATGAAAAATATTTTCACCATTTTTTTTTTTTATATATTCTTCAGATTTTTTTTAACATATAGAAAAGTAATTATATACATATATTTTTATGTATATTTGTAAGTGCATTCCAAAAATAATAGAATAAATGTACTTTTAAAGACATACAGTATGTTTGAAAATGTGTTTTTAAAAATATTTTTCAGATAGTTTGTAATCAAAAAAATGCATTTCAATATACTATATATATATATATATATATTGAATACGGCCAAAGTTGTAGAATTTCAAATATATGTTAATGTATTTGGGATGAATATTTTAAAAGTATATTTAAACTATATTTTTCTTCCATGTGGGGTGTGAAAGGGGTCTTATATGTTTTTGTTGTTTTATATCTTTTATACAGATGCGTATGTACAGCCTTCTTTCAGGTACTGTATATCTTTACTTTAATATGCAACATAGTGCACAAAAAATGATATGTGACACGGATTGCTAAAGTGCATCAAATATGCGAAGTTGAAGAAATATCCCAGAGGGATCTGAGGAATTTCCTTCGAGTCACCCTGTTGCTATATATAATATGTTGTAGACTGCTAATATAGCCTTGGCACCCCCTTCCTAACAAGTCGCAATATCGCCTTAAAAAATATGAATGACTTTAAGTGCCGTCAGTATACAGTATGTATACCATCAACTACAATATGTCAGTTGAAGGTTTTTTTATACCTACCAAATCTTAAAATCACATACAAAAACCCGGGGGAAGAGGTCCACATGGTCCATCTGTCAGCACCTCGTTACATTGACACTAACACACCCCAAACAACCTAAACATTCGCTGTAATAAACACTGGCTGGCAATCAGGATATCTTTTGTCCCCTGTGTTTTTCCTTTGAATAGGTGGCAGACCCTTGTTCATTGAGTGACTGGTTGGATATATACACACATTTTATATCTTCTGATGAAGCAGATCTGTAATCTGGGAAACGCGTTGGGAATTATCTTCATTCCAATGTTGAAATGACCTCCAAGTGAATGGAAATAACTTTCTATATAATTATAAGCTATGTTAATAGAGGTGGGTCTGAGGAGGTTTAGTGTCAGTGTATGGAGATTTTGGTAGAAGACACCATATGGACTTCTTCTGGGTGTCAGGACCCGGATCTGAACCTGCAACCTCTGGTGGGGCTGGTAGCATCATTTCTTACTGTGCCACCTGATATACTGGACAGCTTCCTGATCTCTTAGAACAATCTTGCCTTGTCTCTTGTTTCTCATGAACCTTGAACTCTTTGCTTACATAGTTACATAGCTAGTCTGGCTGAAAAAAGACAAAAGTCCATCCAGTTCAACCACAAAAAAAAAAAATTATAATCCTACACCCACAGTTGGTCCAGAGGAAGGCAAGAAAAAACAGCAAAACATGATCCAATTTACTCCTGCATGGGGAAAAAATTCCTTCCTGAGCCCCCAAGAGGCAATCGGATATTCCCTGGATCAACTTTCCCTATAAATGTTATATCCAGTTACATTCTGTGTATCCAAGAAAGAATCCAGGACTTTCCTACAGCAATCCACTGAGCTGGCCACAACCAACTCTGACGGGAGTCTATTCCACATTCTCACAGCTCTTACTGTGAAGAAACCTTTCCGTGTTTGGAGATTACACTTCTTTTCCTCCAGACGTAAAGAGCGCCCCCTTGTCCTCTGTGATGACCTCAGGGGGAATAACTACACCGAGTTCACTATATGAACCACTGATATATTTATACATGGAGATCATATCCCCCCTTATGTATTATACATGGAGATCATATCCCCCCTTATGTATTATACATGGTGATCATATCCCCCTTATGTATTATACATGGAGATCATATCCCCCCTTATGTATTATACATGGTGATCATATCCCCCCTTATGTATTATACATGGAGATCATATCCCCCCTTATGTATTATACATGGAGATCATATCCCCCCTTATGTATTATACATGGAGATCATATCCCCCCTTATGTATTATACATGGAGATCATATCCCCCTTATGTATTATACATGGAGATCATATCCCCCCTTATGTATTATACATGGAGATTATATCCCCCCCTTATGTATTATACATGGTGATCATATCCCCCCTTATGTATTATACATGGAGATCATATCCCCCTTATGTATTATACATGGAGATCATATCCCCCCTTATGTATTATACATGGAGATTATATCCCCCCCTTATGTATTATACATGGTGATCATATCCCCCCTTATGTATTATACATGGAGATCATATCCCCCTTATGTATTATACATGGAGATCATATCCCCCCTTATGTATTATACATGGAGATCATATCCCCCCTTATGTATTATACATGGAGATCATATCCCCCTTAATCTCCTCTTCTTAGTAGAGAATAAATTCAGTTCCTCTAATCTTTCCTCATAGCTGATCTCCTCCATGCCTCTTATCAGTTTGGTTGCCCTTCTCTGTACTTTCTCCAGTTCCCCAATGTTCTTTTTGTGAATTGGTGCCCAAAACTGAACTGCATATTCCAGATGAGGTTTAACCAATGCTCCTCCCATGGACGTCCTGATTTAAGACATGTCCTCCTGTTTGCCAGATTATTGTGCTCTCCAGCCAATATCTCGCTCTTGTCACTCCTACCTTTACTCATTACTGACCTTTGACTTCTTCCTTGACTATGCTTCTGCTTAATCCCTACCTGCTATATCTAATATGTGGTGAGCCAATCTTGAGGACCACAACCTGGTAATAACATGCAGAAAAACCCACCATCAGGAGCTCTGGTGAATATTGGAATACTTAGACCCCCCCATCTCAGGTGAGCCCGTGTCAATCGCCAAGGTGACCTGCTTGCATACTTATCCTGCTGGTTGGTGGGAGCCACTCTACTGCTATAGCCAGGGCTGTGGATAAGGGGGTACCACCAGTCCTCCTGTACGAGGCCCAGGCAGCTGGGTAAATTGGATGTGAGCAGGGAGGGTTATTGGCATGGCAGGGGAAGGGCAGTTACTGGAACAGATTCCTACATCTCGTGCCCCCACCCCCAAAGTGCTGCCGGCTTCCCTCCTCTCCTTTCCACTGGCAGCTGCAAGAACACAATGGCATCCTTCAGAATGGAGAGTGGGGGAAGGTCACAATGAGTGAGCAGTACTGATCGGATGTGTTCATTCATAACTCAAGGATAGTAAACTGCATTTTATTGGGGGGGGGGGGGGCAGGGGCTGTCAGGTTGGTTGTATGGGGCCCTGTGGTTTCTAACAGCAGCCCTGGCTATAGCTACTGGTCTCCAAGCCTGGCTCCTGACCATGACACTTGGTTTCTATATGTGATTTTATTGGTCTGTTGTAGTTGATGGTTTGCATACTCTATTCTGAACGCACCTTGAAAGTCCCATTATCGGCAGGCTAGGGGAGGGATAGTTGATGATCCCACAGTAAGATGAGGGATAGTTCTTTGGCCAAGATTCCGTAATGTGAGAGGGCAGAGACTTCTTTAGGTAGAATGATGTCACAATGATCTGATCAGGAAGTCTCCAGAACTCCAATCAAAATCATATTGCGTATTTTATGGTGAAGACAATGACACATACGGTAGGTACAAGAATGCAAAAATGATGGGGCTCTAAGGGTTATTTCCTCAAAAAAGCAAGTTTAAGAATATCAATGTTTCGGGGCCTTGCAGAGTCACTTCCTCAAGGTACATAGTGACAGTAACCATGAGTAATGCTAAGGAAGGGACCTTGCGAGGCCCAAGAAACTTCAGTATTCTTGGATTTTATAGGATTTTGCAAGGTCCTGAAATGTTATTATTCTCAGACTTACGTTCAGGAAGGGACCCTGCAAGACCCCAACACATCAGTATTCTTATGGGATCTTGCGAGGTCCTGAAATGCTGGTATTCTTGCACTTGCCTTAAGGATGGGACCCTGCAAGGTCCTGAAATGTCAGTATTCTTGGATTTATGAGCTCTTGCAAGGTCCAGAAACATTAGAATTGTCAGATTTGCCTTCAGGAATGGATTCTGCAAGGCGCTGAAATGTTGGCATTCTTGGACTTACCTTGAGGAAGGGACCCTCTAAAAATATCAGTATTTTTGGATTTATGGGCTCTTGCAAGGTTCTGCAATGTTAGTATTCTTGGACTTGCTTTCAGGAAGAGACCCTGTGAGGTCCCGAAACATCAGTATTCTTGGAGCTATGGGTTCTTGTTGGGTCCTGAAACATTGGTATTCTTGGACTGGCCTTAAGGAAAGAACCCTGCAAGGTCTAAAAACTTTGGTATTCTAGAATTTGCCTCCAGAAGGGCCCTGCAAGGCCCAAAGACATTGGTATTCTTGGACTTATGGGACCCTGTGCGGCCATGAAACATTGGTATTCTTGGACATATGGGACCCTGAGGGGCCTTAAAATGGAGGTATGTTTGGACTTTTGTGATACCTTCTTCACAATAAAGTATGTATAGACAATACATGTATAGACAATGCACAATATGCATTTGATAGACATGCTAATGACTTCCTATCTTTTATTCTGGTTTTTACAGATCACCATGAGCACCATTTGCTGAATACTATCAGGAGTGCAGCTTCAAGCTTGGACTTGTGACATCACACACGCGGGAAATGAATAAACTCCTCTCACCTGCACTTGGCTTTGCTCTTCTTCAGCCACTTGCTGAACTGAGAATTGGGCTTTCGGTACCAGTAATAGAAGCCATAGGCCACCAATGGGAGGACAACCAGGAAGAGAAGCAGCAGGAAGACGATGAGGCCATCTGTAACTGGAGACAGGAAATATGTTATCGGTGGTCACTCATCTAAGTGAATATCTAGTTTTTGGAAAGTGGATCTAACTCAATCATGAAAGTCTCATATAAGCTTTCATTTTATTCCGAATGTTCTTTTCTGTCCTATAGCTTTCATTAATATATCCCTGGTGATCCTGCTGTGAAGGTCCTTGTTAAACACTTACTGTTATAAGGTGACAATGCTCTAAATCTGTCTCTTAATTCCAACAAGATGTCTTGTGGAGAGCATAAGGGACCATACCTACACATGCTGCCCAGGCGGCCATACCTACACATGCTGCCCAGGCAGCCATACCTGCCCAGGCGGCCATACCTACACATGCTGCCCAGGCGGCCGTACCTACACATGCTGCCCAGGTGGTCATACCTATTCATACTGCCCAGGCGGCCATACCTACACATACTGCCCAGGAGGCCATGCCTACACATGCTGCCTAGGTGGCCATACCTATTCATGCTGCCCAGGCGGCCATGCCTACACATGCTGCCCAGGTGGCCATACCTACACATGCTGCCCAGGCAGCCATGCCTACATATGTTGCCCAGGTGGCTATGCCTACACATGCCACCCAGGCGGCCATACCTATACATGCTGCCCAGGCGAATATATCTACAAATGCTGCCCAGGCGGCCATGCCTACAAATGCTGCCCAGGCGGCCATACCTACACATGCTGCCCAGGTGGCCATACCTACACATGCTGCCCAGGCGGCCATGCCTACAAATGCTGCCCAGGCGGCCATGCCTAAACATGCCACCCAGGCGGCCATACCTATACATGCTGCCCAGGCGAATATGCCTACACATGCTGCCCAGGTGGCCATGCCTACTAATGCTGCCCAGGCGGCCATTCCTACACATGCTGCTCAGGCGGCCATTCCTACACATGCTGCTCAGGCGGCCATGCCTACACATGCTGCCCAGGCGGCCATGCCTACACATGCTGCCCAGGCGGCCATGCCTACACATGATGCCCAGGCGGCCATGCCTACACATGCTGCCCAGGAGGCCATACCTACACATGCTGTCCAGGCGGCCATACCTACACATGATGCCCAGGCGGCCATACCTACACATGCTGCCCAGGCAGCCATACCTACACATGCTGCCCAGGCAGCCATATCTACACATGCTGCCCAGGAGGCCATACCTACACATGCTGCCCAGGTGGCCATACCTACACATGCTGCCCAGGCGGCCATGCCTACACATACTGCCCAGGCGGCCATACCTACACATGCTGCCCAGGTATGCTCCACCTTAACACTATCAGGAAGTGTAAAAACTTGATTGCAAAAGTCTGCCAAGTGTTGTTAGGATTCTCTGCCGTATGCTAGTTGTTTATTCATGTTCCGGAGAATAATATAACAAGCTGGACTGCATTCAGCATCCAGGGAGGCAAAACTCACAGTCGTCCGGTACGGGTCCGCTGTCCTCGCTGCCACCTTGGCCAGACTTGTCACAGTAGGGAGGCGCCCAGCCAGCGTGACAGTGGCAGTGCTTGTTACTATTGCACACCTGAAACAGAATGAAGGAACGGGGTCAGTGTGCAATACATACGAGTCAACGTCTCACATTCTGCACAGGGTAGAACATTTCTTCCCTTCCCTATGGCTGAGCATCTCTAATAAAGTAGAAGAAACAATATTCCACTTTAATAAAGCGTAACTAAATCAACGGCTTTTCTTTTTTTTTTTAAATTAAATTTTGCATAGAGTATGAAATGGTTAAAACCCGTGACCTATAGGAACCAACGGGCTTACTCAGCCCAGCCAACTCCACCTATAACTAAAATATCACTTTTCGGTGGACTAGCCCAAATGGGCGCACACGTTAAAAGAAAAGAAGCTGCCATTTCGAAACCACCTGGTGGCTGTATTTGTTAGGTGGGCTGCACTGTGTCCACCACAACTAATTCCTCCTCCCAGTGACAACCCACAGCAACAACCTTCAACTCAATGTCCTCCACAACTTCAGCTCCTGTCAGGGTCCTGTCCACGGCAGAAGTTCTGGAAGATCTGGCATTTCTGCCAGTACTCTGCATGGTTGCAGAAGCACACATCAACCTCAGTTTGGTGCCAGACGGCCTTTATAAGGAGGCTCATCACTTCCTCAAGTTGCTGGATGATCTCCAGCTCCCCGTGCCCTGTTCCTGTTTCCTGTGATTTTGACACGTGATTTCCTGTTACCGACTCGGCTTGCTCCTGGACCTGTCTACTCTGCTTTACCCCTGATCTGACCTCGGCTTGGCTTACGGATACTCTCTCGCGCTCCTCTGTGAATGACCTTGGCTTTCCCATCTGACTACGTCCGCTCTGATTCACACCTGGTACCTGACCTTGGCTTGAACCGACTACCCAGTAAACATCTAAATCCCAGAAGGGCTTGCATACCACGCACAGGCTCCTCCTGTCTGCAGACCTATCTCCGTGCACCAGCTGTGCTTCTGGGTGTGTCACCAACCAGCACTCCTACAGGCGACCTGTGCCACTTTGGGCCTGACTCCCGCTGTCCCACTCTCAGGGGAGTCTGGAACTTAGCCGCAAGGGAAGCCCTCTCTCCATTGGCCTCCATCACCAGGTATGTGATAGCTCCAAACATTGACCCACAACATGACTTTTAGCCCCCCAGTGTAATTTCAAAACAACAACATTGACTTCAGATGTCAACCCACAAGAACTTCAGCTTTTCTCAACCTACAACTTTTAGGAGAAGTATTTGTTGAGTTGGGGTGTTAGCATGCTGTTTATACAGACATACTGTAGGTGCAACAACCATTGTCATATATTATATTGTAAATAGTAGTGTTGCCACTAGGTCATATTGTTACATTTGATGCTGGACATCATTTATTGTTCTTTTTTAGTAGAACTATTTGGTTATGATGTAATTTTATGTGTCTGTGTTGTTATTGTTTTTCAGTATAACAAGAAGGCTCAGCCATGTGTCCAGCACTATTTTGGCTGGCAGGAGTCATATCTGCAGCAGTTCTCCACCAGAAACACCTGGTGGTTGTAATTGTTGATTGGGCTTCACTGTCCTCAAATTCATCCCCTAGTGTGAACCCACAGCAACAACCTTAAACCTAATGTTCTCCACAACGTCAGCTCGGCTAATCGATTCTAATGTCCTGCACAACTTCAGCTTCAACCATCAACCTATTGTCCTGCACAATTTCAGCTTCAACCATCAACCTAATGTTCTGCACAACTTAAGCTTCAACCATCAACCTAATGTCCTTCACAACTGAAGCTTCAACCATCAACCTAATGTCCTTCACAACCTAAGCTTCAACTATCAACCTAATGTCCATCACAACTGAAGCTTCAACCATCAACCTAATGTCCTTCACAACTGAAGCTTCAACCATCAACCTAATGTCCTTCACAGCTGAAGCTTCAACCATCAACCTAATGTCCTGCACAACTTCAGCTTCAACCATCAACCTAATGTCCTTCACAGCTGAAGCTTCAACCATCAACCTAATGTCCTTCACAACTTAATCATCAACCTTAAACCTAATGTCCTTCACAACTTAAGCGTCAACCATCAACCTAATGTCCTGCACAATTTCAGCTTCAACCATCAACCTAATGTCCTTCACAACTTAAGCTTCAACCATCAACCTAATGTCCTTCACAACTTAAGCTTCAACTATCAACCTAATGTCCTTGACAACTTAAGCTTCAACTATCAACCTAATGTCCTTGACAACTTAAGCTTCAACTATCAACCTAATGTTCTGCACAACTTAAGCTTCAACCATCGACCTAATGTCCTCTACAGCTTAAGCTTCAACCATCAACTTAATGTGCTCTACAACTTCAGCTTCAACTATCAACTTAATGTCCTCCACAACTTTAGATTCAACTATCAACTTAATGTCCTTCACAAATTTAGCTTTAACCATCAACTTAATGTCCTTCACAACTTTAGCTTCAACCGTCAACCTAATGTCCTTCACAACGTAAACTTCAACCATCAACCTAATGTCCTGCACAACTGAAGCTTCAACCATCAACCTAATGTCCTGCCCAACTGAAGCTTCAACCATCAACCTAATGTCCTGCACAACTGAAGCTTCAACCATCAACCTAATGTCCTTCACAACTTAAGCTTCAACCATCACCCTACTGTCCTTCACAACTTAAGCCTTGACCATTGACCTGCAACATCACCGTTAGCCCCCCTCCCTGATGCTATCTCATAGCAACAACTTTGTCTGCAAATGTCAACCCACTAGAAGTTCAGCTCCCACTGGCAACCTACAGCAGCCCACAACCGGCTACCACTATTCCCAACAAATCTGTTGCAACCAAAAACCCTTAAGAACGTTTTCGGCTCCAATGTCATCCCAAAAAAACTAAATCAGCCTTAACTGTCATCCCACAGAACCCTGTTCAGTCTCCACCATCGGCTCACAACTGCTTCAAGTCGTGACGGCAACTTACAATAACTTCAGCTCCCACCGTCTGCCATAAAAATGTCAACTCCAAACATTTACCCAAAGCAACAGCCCACCACGTTCACCCACAACCTCTTCAATGCATGACACAGCGGCATATCTCACCCCATGTCCGCTACATTGAGATAGACACTTCTCCAGGTCGATGAAGGAGGCGTTCTTACACTGGCGATCTTGACACACCTGAATCCAAAAGAGAAGACAGAATTTCAACACAGTCTCTTATATATATATCAAGTCCTAGGGGTGAGAAGCAAATTAGAAATGACACGGCATTCTAGATTCATGAAGGTTCAGGAGATGGTTTGACTAGTTTTAATTGGTCACTTTCAGCCAGACTTGTTCTGTAATGCTGGAGAACATACTGTAGTGCTTCTCATCTAAGTGGCTTCATCAGTCCCTAAAATGAGGAAGCTTTTTAGATGAGTGGTGGAATATCTTCTTTTATTTTCTTTTTCTGTTTTATTCTATGCTATTCTAGTCAATTGTTTCTATTCTTTACTTTCTAGTCTGCTCTGTTTTATTCTATTCTATTTTTATCCTATTCTATTCTTTTTTTTAATTCAAGTCTATTTTAATCTATTCTTTTTTTCCTATTCTAATCTGTTTTATTTTATTCTACTCTATTCCATTCTATTCTATTATTCTATATTCTGTTATTTTATATTCTGTTTTATTCTTTTATATTCAGTGTGATTCTATTATAGTCTATCCTGGTTCATTCTGTGTTATTCTATTCTATTTTTTTCTATTCTTTACTTTCTATTCTGTTCCGTTTTATTTGTTTCTACTCTATTATTTTCTATCCTATTCTTTTTTCTATTCTACTCTGTTTTTTTAATTATTTCCATTCTATTCTATTCTTTTCTGTTCATTTTTATTAGTTTCTATTCTATTCTTTTATATTCTACTCTATTCTGTTTTATTATATTCTATAAAGCAGCCTAGGAGTCATCATTCATCAATTTATTTCAGCTTCGTTCAAAATTCATTACTATTGTGATTCAGAAATTCGGTCACATCCGAATCTCCGAATAACGAAAACTTTGTCTGAATTTCCATTCGGAATTAAAACGAAGAGCACATGTCTATTGTCTATATACTGTAAATCCATGAAGGTATATGGAACGGTCACATCGCCATCCATGGTCCATAAGGGTAATACCATGTTGTTTCTTTGGTCAACAGTTCCCAAAAAAATATCATGCGGTCTCCATTTGTATTCAATGGTCAACCATACCCAAAAGATAGCAAAAGGTGACATACTGGGTGACATGCTAGATTCGTATAACTCTTTGGAACTCCAGTGGTGGATGTCAGAAGAAGTTCTATTTCAAAGATGCGATCATGAGAAAGACCTACGATGGTGCAATGTCAATCCATGGATTTCTCGTAATGTATAATACGTAAAGGATTGGGAAATCCAGCTATGAGGAGAATGATAACTTTATCGTGCCTTTGTACGTAGGATTGGAGACTTGATCTAACATGGGGAACTCCAGCAATTGGGTCTCACTCAAAGAATTGTTTGGACAGGATACTCTTAATATACACCAGGTTCACTATGCTGTGTATGTCTATGCCTTTTTCAGGCTTCCATATTGAAGCCAATACTGTCTACATGCAGTTATGACCGTTCTACCTTCATACATGGTCTACATTACATGGTTCCACCTTCATACATGGTCTACTACATTACATGGTTCCACCTTCATACATGGTCTACATTACATGGTTCCACCTTCATACATGGTCTACATTACATGGTTCCACCTTCATACATGGTCTACTACATTACATGGTTCCACCTTCATACATGGTCTACATTACATGGTTCCACCCTCATACATGGTCTACTACATTACATGGTTCCACCTTCATACATGGTCTACATTACATGGTTCCACCTTCATACATGGTCTACTACATTACATGGTTCCACCTTCATACATGGTCTACTACATTACATGGTTCCACCCTCATACATGGTCTACTACATTACATGGTTCCACCCTCATACATGGTCTACTACATTACATGGTTCCACCTTCATACATGGTCTACATTACATGGTTCCACCTTCATACATGGTCTACTACATTACATGGTTCCACCCTCATACATGGTCTACTACATTACATGGTTCCACCCTCATACATGGTCTACTACATTACATGGTTCCACCTTCATACATGGTCTACATTACATGGTTCCACCTTCATACATGGTCTACTACATTACATGGTTCCACCCTCATACATGGTCTACTACATTACATGGTTCCACCTTCATACATGGTCTACATTACATGGTTCCACCTTCATACATGGTCTACATTACATGGTTCCACCTTCATACATGGTCTACTACATTACATGGTTCCACCTTCATACATGGTCTACTACATTACATGGTTCCATCCTCATACATGGTCTACTACATTACATGGTTCCACCTTCATACATGGTCTACATTACATGGTTCCACCTTCATACATGGTCTACTACATTACATGGTTCCACCCTCATACATGGTCTACTACATTACATGGTTCCACCTTCATACATGGTCTACTACATTATATGGTTCTACCTTCACACATGGTCTACTTTGACTGTAGATGATTGTAAGCCCTCATTGTTAGCCTCTGCTACCTAGACTGCCATATGTCCAACAAAACTGTCCAGGTAACCTCCATATTTAGGTCTATCCAGACATGGACCTCAGGGCTCACCATGCCATCTCCACACTTGGTTCCTGTCATTACAAGGCCCGGATCGGAGGCGTCCCCTTCATCTTCCTGCCACGAATAGGAATGAGCGCCTCGACACTTCACCTCATATCCATCAATGTTAATGGTGGTGTCCATAGAGACAGTGTTGTCCTGCTTGGGTTTGTCAGCACTGCTTTGGCACTGGATTTTGCCACATTTGGCATCCCTGTCAAGGACAGTTATGACATTATTATAACGATTTAGTAACCATACAACCTAATATTACCCAGCTTAATAAATGCATCACGTTCTAGTATACAAAATGCTGAAATGGATACATGCAATGAAGAGAGGCTCTCATATTTGTTTCCAGCAACTTGGGCATTGGCTTGGATGACTTTGATAAAATAGAAAGGTGCATCTAAAAGGATGCTATTTGATCTCCTGTAGTCTTGAGAAATGAAGTAATGTAAACAGAAGCACATCTACTCTCAGATGGGTTCAAATGAGCTATTGAACCCAACCGCCAGATGAGAAAAGCAAAAAGTCTTCTTTCATCTACGATGGCAATGAAGAGCCAGTTCAGGAAGGCTGGTAGATCGACAACCGGCCATAACTTACTGGGGTTTGCACTTTACAAAGTTGCCTTGCGTGTCTTTCCCGCAGTTTCCATATCGGTCTCCAGCCTTGTTCACGTCAACAAAGCAAATGTCGGGGGCCGGTCGGGCTCCTGGAAACACACCCAAGAATAAGAAGGTCACTTAAGATCTGGTAAATTATTTTCCCTAGAGCAAGGACTGTACAGAGGACAAGGGCACATCAATGGAGTGTGGAGCAAAGATGATGAAGGACTTGCTTGGTAAGATCTTTATGTATATTACTTACTCCTTTCTATAGCTCTGAGAACTTCACATACCTGAGCCCCACAGGTGAATGCACTGCTGCTGGTGGGTCAGGCACATGCCGTTCATACAGTACGCCTCTCCATAGGCACAGGGGGAGCCATCCATCATGTAGACATTGGCGGGGCAGAAGGCGTTGTCCCCACGGCAAAATTCCGGCAGGTCACAAGCTCCCGCCTTCTCTCGACACAGATTCCCCGCTGACTTTAACTGCAGAAGAAGAAGGTTTACGGATTTATTTGACAGTTCCTCTAAATATTATTATTATTATTATTATTACATGGAGTTTATATAGCGCCAAAGGGTTTGCTCAGCGCTGTACAATAGGGGGGAACAATACATGGCACAGTACAACAAAGACAGACAGCGTACGAGGGGTAAGAGGGCCCTACTCTTTCAAGCTTACAATCTAGGAGGGAGGGGGTAGTGGAACAATAGGAAGTGGCTGAGGGGAATGAAGTGGCTGAGGGGGATGAAGTGGTGGGAGGAATGAGGGAGAATGGCCGTTAGGTGAGGGTGGGGTAGGCTTCCCTGAAGAGATGGGTTTTGAGGGAGCGCCTGAATGTGGGGAGGGAAGGCGACAGTCGGATGGATTGGGGCAGTGAGTTCCAGAGGATAGGGGAGGACCTGGAGAAGTCCTGCAGTCGTGCATGGGAGGAGGAGACCAGGGAGCAGGATAGAAGGAGGTCCTGTGAGGAGCGAAGGGTACGGGTAGGGTGGTACTTGGGGATCAGGTTGGTGAGGTAGTCAGGGGCAGTGTTATGAACGGCTTTGTAGGTCAGGATTAGAAGTTTAAATTTGATGCGTTGGGCAATCGGGAGCCAGTGGAGGGAGAGGCAGAGGGGGGGGGGTGGCAGAGGTGGAGCGGGTGGTGAGGTGAATGAGTCTGACCGCTGAGTTCAGGATGGTCAGGAGCGGGGAGAGCCTGCACTTGGGTAGGCCAGTGAGAAGAGAGTTGCAGTAGTCAAGGCGTGAGATGATGAGGGAGTGTACAAGAAGTTTGGTGGTGTCTGGGGTGAGGAAGGCACGTATCTTGGCAATATTGCGGAGATGGAGCCTGCAGGTGTTTGCAAGTGATTTGACATGAGGGAGGAAGGAGAGGTTAGAGTCAAGAATGACGCCAAGGACTTTGGCTTGCGGGGCGGGAATGATAGTGGTGTTGGTGGTCTCCTCCTTTATTGGTCCTCTCCAATAAATAATGCTCCGAACACAGAGTTAAACACATACAAATAACGGCTCATACTGAGACAATGGGCAAACATCTCATAGGTTCCGCTGTATAGCAGAGCTCCATAAAACAACTGGAAGGTACCAAGATGAAGCGCTGCGCTGGCCATGGATGGTGCCAGTGGAAGATGGATGGAAGAAATGCCTAACGTGATACCTGATGGCAACCAAAGACATCCAGCTGGGCACATTCATTGTATTACCTGATTTATTGCTGGAATTATATTGCCATGCCGAATGTTCATTAAATGACTCTTTTATAGAGCTATCACAGCGGTTCAGTAAAGCGTATAATGTCTTCAATAAAATATACTGTAGTTCCCTGGTACCCAATCTGCTGCTCGAGGACCACATTCAGCCCTTCAGCATTTTCCTGACCTTAGCAGTCAGTAGTGGGAGCACCTATCTGAAGAGAATCATGCCACTGATCTTCAGCACTCTCATGTAGTATGCCTCCAGTCTCTGACTGCCTTCTGTATGGTGTCCTTAGTCTCCAACCACACTTAGATGTCCACAATCTCTGCCCATCTCATCTAATGTATTAAAAGATTCTAACAATCTTCTGTCATATACAGAATATTACAGTGAAGGAAATGCGTATTTGATCCCCTGCTGATGTTGAATGTTCTCCCACTCACAGAGAAAGGATCGGTCTAAAAATCGAATGTTCGGTGTATTGTAACACTGAGAGACAGAATACAACAACAAATTCAGCAGAAATGCGTCTAACAAATGATGACTGATCTGCATGTTCATGAGGGAAATAAGGATTTGATCCCCTTCATGAAACATGACTTAGTACTTGGTGGCCAATCCCTTGTTGGCAATCACAGAGGTCAGACATTTCCTGGAGTTGGCCCCCAGGTTCGCACACATCTCAGGAGGGATTTTGGCCCACTCCTCTTGGCAGATCCTCTCCAAGTCATTAAGGTTTGGTGGCTGACGTTTGGCAACTCAAACTTTCAGCTCCCTCCACAGATTTTCCATCGGATGAAGGTCTGGAGACTGGCTAGGCCACTCCAGGACCTTAATGTGCTTCTTCTTGAGCCACTCCTTTGTTGCCTTGGCCGTGTGTTTTGGGTCATTGTCATGCTGGAACACCCATCCACCACCCATTTTCAATGCCCTGGCTGAGGGAAGAAGGTTCTCACCCAAGATTTGAGGGTACATTTCCCCGCCCATCATCCCTTTGATGCGGTGCAGTTGTCCTGTCCCCTTAGCAGAAAAACACCCCCAAAGCAGAATGTTTCCACCACCATGTTTCACAGTTGGGATGGTGTTCTTGGGGTCATAGGCAGCATTCCTCCTCCTCCAAACACGGCGAGTTGAGTTGATGCCAAAGAGCTGGATTTTGGTCTCATCTGACCACAACACTTCCCACCAGTCCTCCTCTGCATCATTCAGATGTTCAGTGGCAGACTTCAGACGGGCCTGGACATGGGCTTTCTTGAGCAGAGGGACCTTGTGGGCACTGCAGGATTTCAGTCCTTGTCGGCGTAGTGTGTTACCAATTGTTTTCTTGGTGACTGTGGTCCCAGCTGCCTGGAGATCATTGACAAGATCCTCACGTGTAGTTCTGGGATGATTCCTCACTGTTCTCATGATCATTGACACTCCACGAGGTGAGATCTTGCATGGTGCACCAGACCTAGGGAGACTGACACTTGTTTTGTGTTTCTTCCATTTGTGAATGATTGCACCAACTGTTGTCACCTTCTCACCAAGCTGCTTGGCCATAGTTTGGTAGCCCAGTCCAGCCTTGTGTAGGTCTACAATCTTGTCCCTGACATCCCTGGACAGCTCTTTGGTCTTTGCCATGGTGGAGAGTTTGGAATCTGATGGTTTGATTGCTCCTGTGGACAGGTGTCTTTTATACAGGTAACACAATGAGATTAGCAGCACTCCCTTTAAGAGACTGCTTCTAATCTCAGCTTGTTACCTGTATGAAAGACACCTGGGAGCCAGAAATCCTGCTGAATGATAGGGGATCAAATCCTTCTTTCCCTCATGAACATGCAGATCCGTCATCATTTGTTAGACGCATTTCTGCTGAATTTGTTGTTGTATTCTGTCTCTCAGTGTTACACCGAACATTCCATTGTTAGAGCGATCATTTCTTTGTGAGGGGCGAACATTCAACATCAGCAGGGGAGAAAATATGCAATTCCTTCACTGTATGTGCAGCCCTTAGGAGCTGTCAGAGACTGCAGTTGGGGCTTTCCATGCCTCCTAAGTTGACAATCACTGGTATAGTTGCTACAGAGTGTTGCAGAGTATCTCCTGCAAGGCGTTCCTCCATGCTCTGTATCCGATCCTTACCTTACAGTTGTAGCAGCATTCCCCGTGTGCGCACTGAGCCCCCTCCTTTAAGGTGCAGTCTTTGGCATTGCAGCAAGGATTGGTACAGTCCTGTATGGGAGAAAAGGTAGCTCATGAGATTATCGACCCCCAATCTGGCTGATACTGGTACTGCTAGATAAGAGATCTGTGATTGGACAGCTGAGAAAGCCTTATCCAATCACCTCTGTCTCAGCCCTGAAATATGTCACCGTCAGAGGCTCCATCTCCACTCCACAGCATACCTACAGTTGACTCCTTCGGATGATCTGATTGTCTATGACCGCCCTACTTAAAACATTTACATTTTCCTTTAGTCAGCTTTAGGCACCGTTTTCATAATCTGCTCAATTTTAGAAGCCAACAAGACAAGGCCCAAACACCGATAGGCTGCATATTTGCATGCGCTCAGCATCTAGGGGTTAAGGATTGGTCGTAATCCCTTGAGTACGCAGATCATCTCCTCCTCACCCCCACCCACTGCCTTCTAGAAGCTTCTTAAGTTTCTAGAGCAGGGGGAGGTATCAGGGAAATGACCTGCAGAGCCCTCAGCCCTGACCTAAAGTGAACCTGGCTGACTGATCCCATGCTGACTCACACCAGGCTGCTATCCAGCCTCTAGGTGAAAACCTATCTAGCTCCCCCTAGCTAACTAGAGGAGCACTACAAATATATAGTCTGGTCTCGGCCTATAAGTGTAGCCACGCAGGTCCGGCCATCTCTGCTGCTGATTCCTGACACTTGGCATTAAGTCATATACAGGGGCGGGCCTGGGGTCAGTAGGGGGCCCCATGAGATGCCCCTGGTACCTTTTTCATAGGCTTTTTTGAGTTTGGGCAAGGACACAGGGGCCCCATGATCCTCTATTGCCCGGGGGCCCCATGAGTTGTCAGTCCACCCCTGTATAGGGTGGTAGGGAGGCGGTAAATTCCCACCATTTGCTTTACTGAAACGTCAAAATGACTTTTTATGTAATCCTGTGCACCGCGGTGGAGCTGCAGTGTGAAAAACGGACAGAGGGGACATTGATCAAAACTAGAGCAGCTGTGCGTGGCAACCAATCAGCTTCCATGTTCAGCTTGTAGGCAGCTTCATCCCCATGATCCCCTATTGCCCGGGGGCCCCATGAGTTGCCAGTCCGCCCCTGGTCATATATTATATAAAAACATTAAATACATGACGTGGATTAGCTGAAGAGACAACAGAGCAGAGAATCCTGCATTGCAACTTATTTTGTCTGATTGAAATCAATTCATAAAAAATTCATCCAGCAGATCTAAAAGTTGAAAGAGCGGAATATGTGAAAAGGTGGCTAGAGCTCCCCCCACTGGTTGGTTAATAGACTACAAGATATTTCATAAATACTGTACCACATTTTTAGAAATGGTATTTTAATGAGTGCAATATTTCCCATGAACCTAAGTAAAAAAAAAAAGATACATATTCCAAAAATTGTATTTATGTATTCCTAAGCATGATATACAAAGCAGAGTATGACGGGACCTACGTCTGGCTCTCCGCAGTCACATTGCTCTCCCTCCTCCAGAAAGCCGTTTCCACACTTCTTCCCCGTCACCAGGTCCTCTGTGTTGGGCGCGTTGAATAGGCACATCCCTCCGCCTTTCCAAAGTATTTGCGCAGCTGATTCTGACTGCATGAGCTGAACTTACTAGGGAAGGGATGTCTGCGGAAAGAGAAGACGAGCGAATGAATGTCCGAGGGGACACCTGACATTCCACGGTGACAATGAATTGAAAGCTGAAGTATATTCTGCTTATATTTTGCCTTTTCTGGTTTCTTTTTTTTTTGCCCTCATCAAGATGCTGATGACATTTGTAGCACTACCCTCTTAGGAGTCACTAAAGATTGCCCCCCCCTATAGTCCTGCACAGCCAGGCAACACACAGCCACAGACCTGCATTCCAGAGACAGTGGACAGTCCTTGAGCTTGTTTATTAGGGGCATTGAACTTGGATGGGGTTGAGGGGTGCATGGGATGCCCAAGAAACAGTAAACGTAGGACAACTTCCTGGCAACTATATACAAGTCCAAAGACAGAACGTCTCTTCTTGGAGAGCTCTCCAGCCTCTCCTGGTGCACCACCCCAGACCCCAGATAAATCCTCTTCTTTAACCAGCTGCCTGGGGGAATCCCTGGGCAAGGCGATCCAGTGTCTGCCACTTTAGGATGAACCAGGGGCGGACTGACCATTTGGAAACTCGAGCACTGCCCGAGGGCCCGGGGTCAGTAGGGGGCCCCATGAGATGCCCCTGGTACCTTTTTCATAGGCTTTTTTGAGTTTGGGTAAGGACATAGGGGCCCCATGATCCCCTATTGCCCGGGGGCCCCATGAGTTGTCAGTCTGCCCCTGGGATGAACAGTCCTGGGTAAGGTCAGTATATAAAAATAAGTGAGCGCACTACAAGTAGCAGCCAAGCACAGTAGGTAACCAGATAAAACCTATAAATCAAAGATGAAATAACGTAGTGCAGCGCTAAAAAAAAATTATATATATATATAAAATATATAATAAATAGCCTTTATGATGACTATAATACAATTAATTAAAGTTCATGGGTATACCATCATAAAATATTAATGTTCCAAAAGTGACAGTCGTGTTCTGGAGGTGACTACTTCAAAGGTATTCTGGTGCTTGTGCAGATGGAAATAATAAATTTGCGCACTCACCAGATGCACAATTTTAATGTGCATATAAATATGGGTATAGATGTCCTCTTATTGGGATCAGGGTAGAGCAGATGAAAGGTAATCCTCCCTCTGAAGGGTAGATGTTACAACGGGCGATTCCAGGGTTTAGAGTTGATCCAAGACAGCCAGAGGTCCCTTATAGGGTATGGTGGATGCAGTATCCTGGGTAGACAGGAGATCCTCTCTCTGGATACTGAGATGGACCTTAGATGGGCTTCTGTGAATAGGTTCACTGCAGAAAATGGTATAAAAGCTTCATTCTTAATGAAGTTTCCTTCTGAGCCCAGAAAATGCTGAGGGTATAACTCGTCTGGCTTCTCAAAGTGTTCTTTGTCTTGTAGGATGGAACACAGTAATGGAATCACTTGAGTTCCCTTTCAGCTCTCCAGACAGGACTTGTCTGATCCCAGGACAAGAGCCCTGGGTAAGGAGCTAATGAGGTTTCCCACCAGAATGCCCTTTAAATGGCCCAGGGGGTGTAGGATTACTCACTCAGGCTGTGTCTGGGAGCTGGTTGGGTTGGTGGCTGCCTTCAGGCTTTCTGCTGGGCTGGCTCCTTTCCTGCTCCACAGGTGGTCCTCCCTCTGTGGACTTGTGAAGTGGAGCGAACCTCCTGTCCAAGTCCCAGCCTGTAGGTAGGCGCTTTCCTACTGGGCCCCCTCCCAGGCTCCTGCCTCTCTTCCTCTTTCACATCTTCTACCCGAGCTCTCCTGCTGCTGAGCAGGCTCAGTCATACTTAAAGGCTCTCCTGACCCCATGCCAAGCCTCCTGCCTGGGGATTGGTCAGGATCCACTAAGTATGCAGATCAGCCCCTCCTCACCCCCATCCACAGCTTCTAGAATTGTCTCCAAGATTCTAGAGAAGGGAGAGGTATCAAGGAACTTCTCTGCAGCTGGTTGGGTTGGTGGCTGCCTTCAGGGCTTCTGCTGGGCTGGCTCCTTTCCTGCTCCACAGGTGGTCCTCCCTCTGTGGACTTGTGAAGTGGAGCGAACCTCCTGTCCAATCCCAGCCTGTAGGTTGGCGCTTTCCTACTGGGCCCCCTCCCAGGCTCCTGCCTCTCTTCCTCTTTCACATCTTCTACCCAAGCTCTCCTGCTGCTGAGCAGGCTCAGTCATACTTAAAGGCTCTCCTGACCCCATGCCAAGCCTCCTGCCTGGGGATTGGTCAGGATCCACTAAGTATGCAGATCAGCCCCTCCTCACCCCCATCCACAGCTTCTAGAATTGTCTCCAAGATTCTAGAGCAGGGGGAGGTATCAAGGAACTTCTCTGCAGCTGGTTGGGTTGGTGGCTGCCTTCAGGGCTTCTGCTGGGCCGGCTCCTTTCCTGCTCCACAGGTGGTCCTCCCTCTGTGGACTTGTGAAGTGGAGCGAACCTCCTGTCCAAGTCCCAGCCTGTAGGTAGGCGCTTTCCTACTGGGCCCCCTCCCAGGCTCCTGCCTCTCTTCCTCTTTCACATCTTCTACCCGAGCTCTCCTGCTGCTGAGCAGGCTCAGTCATACTTAAAGGCTCTCCTGACCCCATGCCAAGCCTCCTGCCTGGGGATTGGTCAGGATCCACTAAGTATGCAGATCAGCCCCTCCTCACCCCCATCCACAGCCTCTAGAATTGTCTCCAAGATTCTATAGCAGGGGGAGGTATCAAGGAACTTCTCTGCAGCTGGTTGGGTTGGTGGCTGCCTTCAGGGCTTCTGCTGGGCTGGCTCCATTCCTGCTCCACAGGTGGTCCTCCCTCTGTGGACTTTTGAGGAGGAGAGAACCTCCTGTCCAAGTCACAGCCTGTAGGTAGGCCCCTTCCTACTGGGTCCCCTCCCAGGCTCCTGCATGTCTTCCTCTTTCACATCTTCCACCTGAGCTCTCCTTCTGCTGAGCAGGCTCAGTCATACTTAAAGGCTCTCCTGACCCCATGCCAAACCTCCTGCCTGGAGATTGGTCAGGATACCCTAAGTATGTAGATCAGCCCCTCCTCACCCCCATCCACAGCTTCTTCTAGAATTGTTTCCAAGATTCTAGAACAGGGGGAGGTATCAAGGAACTTATCTGAAGAGCCTCTCAGCTCTGACCCAAATTTGGCCCTGCTGACTATTCCCAGACTGCTGCTCAGCCTTTCTAACTAGAATTGTCTCCAAGATTCTAGAGCAGGGGGAGGTATCAAGGAACTTATCTGCAGCTGGTTGGGTTGGTGGCTGCCTTCAGGCCTTCTGCTGGGCTGGCTCCTTTCCTGCTCCATAGGTGGTCCTCCCTCTGTGGACGTGCAAGATGCAGTCCCAGCCTGTAGGTAGGCCCCTTCCTACTGGGCCCCCTCCCAGGCTCCTGCATCTCTTCCTCTTTCACATCTTCTACCCAAACTCTACTGCTGCTGAGCAGGCTCAGTTATACTTAAAGGCTCTCCTGACCCCATACCAAGCCTCCTGCCTGGGGATTGGTCATCCCCTAAGTATGCAGATCAGCCCCTCCTCACCCCCGTCCACAGCTTCTAGAATTGTCTCCAAGATTCTACAGCAGGGGGAGGTATCAAGGAACTTATCTGAAGAGCCTCTCAGCTCTGACCCAGATTTGGCCCTGCTGACTATTCCCAGGCTGCTACTCAGCCTTTCTAACTAACAATTACCAACTAGCTTCCCCTGGCTATCTAGAGGGGTGCTACACATTTTTAAGTAAAACCTGGACTGGAAGGGGGGAAAGTGTCCTGGACTGGAAGGGGGGAAAGTGTCTGGACTGGAAGGGGGGTGAAAGTGTCCGGACTGGAAGGGGGGTGAAAGTGTCCGGACTGGAAGGGGGGGAAAGCGTCCAGACTGGAAGGGGGTAAAGTGTCTGGATTGGAAGGGGGTGAAAGTGTCCAGACTAGAAGGGGGGTGAAAGTGTCCAGACTGGAAGGGGGTGAAAGTGTCCGGACTGGAAGGGGGTGAAAGTGTTCGGACTGGAAGAGGGTGAAAGTGTCCGGACTGGAAAGGGGGGAAAGTGTCCGGACTGGAAGGGGGGGAAAGTGTCCGGACTGGAAGGGGGTGAAAGTGTCCAGACTGGGAGGGGGTGAAAAAAAAAAGTCAGGATTTTGTTTCCCCATGTGTGTGTGGGAGGGACAGCCTGCTATAATCAATCGGCTGCCTACACACAGGACCCAGGTTGAGATATTGATTGAACTGGATGGACTTTTGTATTTTTTCAGCCAGACTAACTATGTAACTATATAACTATATAACTATATAACTATATAACTATGTAACTATATAACTATGTAATAACTATGTAACTATATAACTATATAACTATGTAACTATATAACTATATAACTATGTAACTATATAACTATGTAACTATATAACTATGCAACTGTGTAAACTGTGTAACGATGTAACTATATAACTATATAAACTATGTAACAATGTAACCATCGCTCAGTGAAAGTGTATCAGTCATTTCCAGTTCTGTAGCACAGTGAATCAGAGCTATGGCTGCGGACTGAACTATCGATGTACAGACCCCATGGAGGGGATGGAGGGCATGGAGGCATGGAGGGGATGGAGGGCATGGAGGGGATAGAGGGGATGGAGGGCATGGAGGGGATAGAGGGGATGGAGGGGATGGAGGGGATGGAGGGGATAGAGGGCATGGAGGGCATGGAGGGGATGGAGGGGGATGGAGGTGATGGAGGGGATAGAGGGGATGGAGGGCATGGAGGGGATGGAGGGCATGGAGGGGATGGAGGGGATGGGGGATGGATGGAGGAGATGGAGGGGATGAAGGGGGAATGTAACGCAATTCTAGAAATATAGAACAGCAGGAATGTACAAATACGTAAAAAAAAAAAAAACCACATAAAAATGTCTTTCAGGTATAAGTCCCCAGCTGAGGACATGACGTGCTGACAGCTGAGTGGCCCCGTGTCTCACCCCGTAGCAGCCGCCATGATGCACCCGCCCTGCTCCGCGGTGGCTTCCGTACAGCAGTTGTCCTTGTCGTGGCTCATCCCGAAGTTGTGTCCGATTTCATGAGCCATTGTGGCCGCGGCCCCTATGGGCAGCTCAGAGTGATCCTGCAATGACCAACAAATACAAGACGTAGCTATTATTATCCAGAGGCGGGGCCGATGGTAGAACCCGCGGGGCCCCGTGCAGCCTATATAGCAGTTCTTTTGCTTTTTTTTTTTTTTTTTTTTACTTTTTTTTGTTAACCCCAGGCAACAGAAAAATCGTCTGCCCCCACGGACACCAACCAACACCCCCCCTTCCCCCTCCTGTGGAGAATGACCAACAACACCCCGGCCCCCCCCCCCCCCCATATAGATAGAAAGAAAGACATTCATCTTCACAGCTCCGGACATCCCCGGGAATGAGAGTCAGGGTCTACATACACCATCAAGCAGCCCGCAGCCTCTCTCGGATCCCACCTGGTTCCCATCTCACGTGTCCCTTCTTCCATCTCTTCTTCTGGGGGGGGGGTGCTGCCCCCTTGAAAGGTGCCACCCTAGGCAAGTGCCCTGTGGTAAATACACCCCTGCCTGTTGGGTGGAGCTTTGGTGAAATATCAGAGGATGTCTCACTTTTGAAACAGAGAAATGGACTGAGGACATAGATTACACAACCCCTTTCTCTGCAGCCTCAGCTGCACTGCAGACAAAATAACAGGAAGCACTCTGTTCGTTCACAAACAGAAGCATAGTAAACACAAGTTTACTATGCTTCAGTTATAAATGGACACAGGAGCCAGAGGGGGAAGGGTCAGAGATACTGGAACAGATCCTTCTGGAGCTCCCCCTGCAGCCGCTGAAAGCTGGTAGGAGGAAGAGGAGGGGAAGAGAGGAAGAGGAGGAGCCACAGGACAATCAGTTTCAGTGATAAGCTGCCCCTCCTGCTTGTCAGGTGTCTGGGCCCTCCTGTTGGACTAATGGGACCTTGGCCCCCTGTACAGCCCTGTCCACAACCCCACATTGTTCCACGCGTGGAAACTACAGGGAACTTTTTTCTTCAGAGGAACCTTGAACTAATTTTCAGATGTCGGGAACCTCAGATAAAACCAATTCATTGGAAGTCACTAAGCAAAATGCTCCAGAAATAACCCCCCCTCCCCTCCCCCACCCCTAGAGACAGCTAGAAAACTCTGCCAAGTGGTGTTGGCCTCCAGAACTATGACAGCGTCATCCAATGGGGGGTCAAACCCCTAGCAACCTCTAGAACCTTTATGAATGAAAAACGGACCGCCATGTATTTCTAGGTACTTGAGGATGTAAACGGATAAACATCTTTTAGCATCCATTAACCCCTTGGCGTCGGCGCCTCCCGGTCCTTTAAGGGTTTCAGAAGCCGGGAGGCGGAGTTTTAGGGTCATGTGACCGCCATGATTCGCCGTCACGGCGGTCACGTGATCGGGGAAAGGTCCCGATCAAAAGAGGAAATCGGGACCTTTCTGTGTGCTGGGAAGCGGGCAGGGCGTGCACTCTCAGCACATGTGTTTTTCTTAATTGCACGCAAATGTGCGGCCGCTCGGCATCAAGGCCCAGACACCGGGAGGACGCACATTTGTGTGCAGCCAGGCGTGAAGGGGTTAATGTCTGCATCCGTTAACGGAACGGAAGAAAAACCCTATTTTTCTTCCATAAAAAAACCTGGAAAGGATGAAAAACGGATGTAGATGGATGAAAACGGATGTAAAAGCATCTAAAACGGATGTAAACCAATAAAAAAACGGATGAAAAACGAATGACAAACGGATGTAAACCAATGAAAAACGGATAAAAAGTGGATGTAAACCAATAAAAAACGGATTACAAATGGATGAAAAAACGGATGTAAACCAATGTAAACGGATGTAGACAGATGAAACCGGATCTAAACAGATGAAAAACAGATGTAAACCAATGTAAATGGATGAAAACGGCTGAAAATTGGATGTAAACCAATGTAAACAGATATAGACGGATGTAAACGCATCTAAACGGATGAAAAACGGATGTAAATGCATCTAAACGGATGGAAAATGGATGTAAACCAATGTAAACAGATGAAAAACGAATGAAAAAACAGATGTAAACCAATGTAAACGGATGTAGACAGACTAAAATGGATGAAAACAGATCTAAGTGGATAAAAACGGATGTAAACGCATCTAAACGGATGAAAAAGCATGTAAACCAATGTAAATGGATGAAAACCGCATGTAAATGGATGAAAAATGGATAAAAAAAAATGGATGTAAAGCAATGCAAACAGATGAAAAACGGATGAAAAAACGGATGTAAACCAATGTAAACGGACGAAAAACGGATGAAAATTGGATGTAAACCAATGTAAACGGATATAGATGGATGGAAACGGATCTAGACTGATGTAAATGCATCTAAACGGATGCAAAATGGATGTAAACAGATGAAAAAACGGATGAAAAAATAGATGTAAACCAACGTAAACGGATGTAGACAGATTAAAATGGATGAAAACAGATCTAAACGGATGAAAAACAGATGTAAACGCATCTAAACGGATGAAAAAAAGCATGTAAACCAATGTAAACAGATGAAAAACGCATGTAAATGGATGAAAAAAATGGATGTAAACCAATGTAAATGGATGTACACAAATGAAAATGCACCTAAACAGATTAAAAACGGATGTAAACGGATGAAGAAACAGATGAAGAAACGGATGTAAACTCATCTGTTTTTCCTTTGAAAAAACGTGACTGAACTGAAGAAAAAAACAGAGCGCCCATGTGAAAGGACCCGTACGGAACACCCGTGTGAAAGGACTCATACAGAACACCCGTGTGAAAGGACTCATACAGAACACCCGTGTGAAAGGACTCATACAGAACACCCATGTGAAAGGACTCATGTGAAAGGACTCATACAGAACACCCGTGTGAAAGGACCCATACAGAACACCCGTGTGAAAGGACCCATACAGGACACCCGTGTGAAAGGACCCATACAGAACACCCGTGTGAAAGGACCCATACAGGACACCCGTGTGAAAGGACCCATACAGAACATCCGTGTGAAAGGACCCATACAGAACACCGTGTGAAAGGACCCATACAGAACATCCGTGTGAAAGGATCTGTGTGTTTCTAACTGTCACCATTAAAGCTCTTCTGGATATACTGCACTTAGAAGCGCCCTCCTGTTCTGTCCTCTTCCAAGGGTGTCTACAGCCTACTGTGAAGCATGGTGGACGTTCCTGGCAGGGTCGGGGCTGCATTTCTGCACATGGAGATGGGAAGCTGGCCAAAAATAATGGATCCCTAGTGTTGACAAGTACGGCAAATACTTATCCACCATGAATGACCATCAGGGAGGCATCTGACCAACCCAAGATGCATTCTGCAGCAGGACAACGACCCCCAAAGGTGACCTCCTTAGTCTGTTGCTGCTCCCTTATTGTCCAATCACGGGCTGTTATCACTGAACTGCAGTAGAGGAAATCATTTGCCAGGCAAGACCGTTTGCACACCTACGTATTTTTGTGAGCGTGTGCCTGGGGTCCCACATGTAAAAAATAATATATTTTAAATACATTTTAAAAATTCATACATACATTTTAATATATTCTTCCCAAATATATTGACATATTTTTCAAATACTAAAATTTTTGGCCGTATTCAATATGTTTCAAAAATATATTTTGACCAACAGCCACTATACTCCTTCTCCTCGACCTCTCCGTGGCTTTTGACACAGTTGACCATCCCCTCCTCCTCCTCAAAAAACTCCACTCTCTTGACCTCAGAGACTCTGCTCTCTCCTGGTTCTCCTCCTATCTATCGCAGTGCTCCTTCAGCGTTACCTATAACTCTGCCTCCTCCTCTTCACTCCCTCTTTCTGTAGAGGTCCCTCAAGGTTCTGTCCTTGGACCCCTTCTCTTCTCCATCTACACCTCCTCCCTTGGTCACTTGATAAACTCCTATGGCTTCAACTACCATCTCTATGCTGATGACACACAAATCTATCTGTCTACCCCTCACCCCTTCAGTCTCCTCCTCCCCTCAGCCCTTCAGTCTCTCCTCCTCACCTCTCCTCCTCCCTCACCCCTTCAGTCTCCTCCTCCCCTCACCCCTTCAGTCTCCTCTCACATTACTAACCTACTAAGTGACATATCGGCATGGATGTCACTCCACTTCCTCAAACTCAATCTTTCCAAAACTGAGCTCTTAGTATCCCCCCCCCCCCCCCGTCCCCCCCCCCCCCCGACTTCTCCATCAAGGTCAATAACACAATCATCAGTCCTTCCCCTCATGCCAGGGTACTAGGTGTAATCCTGGACTCCCATCTGTCCTTCCATTCCCAAATCCAATCACTGTCCAAATCTTGTAGACTTCACCTCCGTAACATCTCCAACCTCCGCAACACCTCCAACCTCCGCAACATCTCCAACCTCCGCAACACCTCCAACCTCCGCAACATCTCCAACCTCCGCAACATCTCCAACCTCCTCAACATCTCCAACCTCCGCAACATCTCCAAGATACGGCCGTTCCTAACTTCAGAAACCACTAAGCAACCTATTTACTCCCTTGTCATATCACGCCTTGACTATTGTAACTCCCTCCTCATTGGCCAACCTCATCGCAGGCTATCCCCTCTCCAGTCTATCATGAATGCTGCTGCCAGACTCATCCACCTTACTAACCGTTCTGTATCTGCCACCCTTCTCTGCCACTCCCTCCACTGGCCTCCATTCAGTGTCCTCCCCCTCTCTCTGCCAATCCCTCCACTGGCCTCCATTCAGTGTCCTCCATCCCTCTCTGCCAATTCCTCCACTGGCCTCCATTCAGTGTCCTCCACCCCTCTCTGCCATCCCTCCACTGGCCTCCACTCAGTGTCCTCCACCCCTCTGTGCCAATCCCTCCACTGTCCTCCACTCAGTGTCCTCCACCCCTCTCTGCCAATCCCTCCACTGGCCTCCACTCAGTGTCCTCCACCCCTCTCTGCCAATCCCTACACTGTCCTCCACTCAGTGTCCTCCACCCCTCTCTGCCAATCCCTCCACTGGCCTCCATTAAGTGTCCTCCATCCCTCTCTGCCAATCCACTGGTCCTCCACTGGCTCCTCCATTGCCTGCCAATCCCTCCACGGAGTGTCCTCCACCCCTCTCTGCCAATCCCTCCACTGGCTTCCCATTGCCCAACGGATAAAATTCAAAACACTAACACTGATGTATAAAGCCATTTATAACTCTGCCCCAAATTAAATCACCAATCTTGTCTCCAAATATCACCCAAACTGTACTCTCCGCTCCTCCCACGACCTCCTCCTCCCATGCTCATCTACAGGACTTCTCCAGAGCTTCATCCATCCTCTGGAACGCCCTACCCCAATCCATCAGACTATTGCCTACTCTGCTCACTTTTAGGCGATCTCTGAAAACCTTTTTCTTCAGGGAAGCCTATCCTGCCCTCAGCTAATAATGGAATCTTCTAGTCCTCCCAACACTCCATCCCCCACAGTTATTACCTTTTGTACAATCAGCCCCTCCCTCCTAGATTGTAAGCTCCCAGGATCAGGGCCCTCCTACCCCTCTTGTATTGAACTGTATTGTTGCTGTATTGTCTCCCGTTATATTGTAAAGTGCTGAGCAAACTGTTGGCGCCATAAATCCTGTATAATAATAATAATAATAATATATTTGTGAATATATTATTAAAAATATATTCATAACACACGCTGAAATATATTTTAAAGTGTAGTTTGGAATGCATTTACAAGTATATTTAAAAATCTATGTTTAAATGCACTTTTTTAGATGTTCAAAAATATCTGGAAAATAAATTTAAATAAAAAATATATTTTAAATATATGCCTTTTGCAAAATATATTCTTAATTTACATTTTTGGAATACATGTTAAAATATATTTGTGTTGGCCAATATATTGTAAATATATGTTGAAATGCGTTTTTATTACAACATATATGAAAAATATTTTTAAAAATACATTTCCAAATATAATGTATGTCTTTAAAAATGCATTTAATCTACATTTTTGGAACGCCTTTACAAATACATGTAAAAATGTATGTTCAAAAAAAATCTGAAGAGTATATTTAACAAAAATATATTTTGTAAAATATTTGTCATATATTTTGTAATATATAAAAGACGCATTTTGTTATATATATATATATATATATATATATATATATATTTGAAATATATTGAATACAATATTTTGTAACATAAAACATGCATTTCAACATGCAGTGTGTATATATATATATATATATATATATATATATATATATATATATAACAAAATATATTTTGAAATATATAAAAAACACATATCAACATGGTGTATATATATATATATATATATATTTTTTTTTTATTTATTTATTTATTTATTTATTTTTAAATATGTTGAACAAAATTGTAGTATTTCAAATATATGTCATCATATTTAGTAAGAATATTTTTAAAATATATGTAAATATATTTTTCTTCCTCCTCACATACCAGGACTATCCTATGACACTATGTACTGTCCCACACTCACCATATTGACGCCCCCAGAATTCTCCGCCGTGCACATCCCTTCCAGCGGGGCCATCCCAATGGTGGTTCCACTGAATGTCATTCCACTGAAACACAATAAAATGTCAATCAATATACCGATATTGAGATCGCTCCACCAAAAAGGGAGATTATTTATCTCAGGTACTTATATAGCGCCATCAATGTACGCAGCGCTTTGCATATATATTGTACATTCACATCAGCCCCCGCCCCCGAGGAGCGTACAATCTAAGGTCCCTAACTCACATTCATACATACACATACTAGGGCCAATTTAGACAGGAGCCAATCCACCTACCAGCATGTCTTTGGAGTGTGGGAGAAAACCGGAGTACCCAGAGGAAACCCACACAGGCACAGGGGGAACATGCAAACTCCAGGCAGGTGGTGCCGTGGTTGAGATTTGAATCAATGACCCGAGTACTGCCAGGCAGAAGTGCTAACCATTTAGCCGCTGTAGAGATATCAGTTTATGGCTGATGCAGAAAAGTGATAAGGGGTTAGCACTTCTGCCTGGCAGTACTTGGGTCGTTAGTTCAAATCCGATCCACAGCACCACCTGCCTGGAGTTTGCATGTCCTCCCTGTACCTACGTGGGTTTCCTCTGGGTACTCCGGTTTCCTCCCACACTTCAAAGACATGCTGGGATGTTAATTGTCCCTAGTATGTATGGATGTGAGTTCGGGAGCTTAGACTGTACGCTCCTCAGGGGCGGGGACTGATGTAAATGCACAGTAAAGCGCTGCGTACATTGACGGCGCTATATAAGTACCTGAAATAAATAAGTTAAAGTGGACCACCTGACTCCGCCTAGAACTGAAATGGCTTTTTTTTTTTGTAGAGACAAAGTAGGCCGTAAAACGAGGACTTTTTTCTTTTAGTTATCATTTCTACATAGCAAGAGTCATTATACTGACGTGAGGAGCTGGGCGTTGTCGTGCTTCTTCCTGCCCCGCAGCTTCTGTTTCCACGCCAGGAAGGTGCGCAGGCTTTGGTTGGCGTCAGTCTGGATGTCACACTGGTTCCCCGACGTCCAAACCTCCAGACCAATCAGAGCCACCTTGATGTTCATCGACAGGTAGAACTGTAGAGGAGGGGAAAATCTGTATTGTAACTTTTTTATTTGTTTGTTTGTTTGTTTGTTTGTTTGTTTAGCCAGTTCAGTTGTCACCCCCTCCCCATGGGCTGGTTCATTTTTTTTTTTTTTTTTTTTTACATTTATGCTATGGACATGTTTATTCCATTATATCTTTGTCATTCTATAAAATAATGAATAAATATAGTACATGCGTCATTATATTTTAGGTGATAACATCCTGCAAATATATATTTTTGTCGTGTAATCCAAAGCCAAAAATTTAAAAAAATTTAAAAAAAATAAACACCTTTTTTCTACGTTTTAGTGTTTATTAAAATGTAGAAAAGTGTAGATAAAAAGTATAATTTTTATCCTTTTCAGGGCAGCGCAGCAGCTAAATCGTGAGCACTGGCAGTACTCGGGTCATTGGTTCTAATCCCAACCACGGCACCACCTGCCTGGAGTTTGCATCTTCTCCCTGTGCCTGTGTGGGTTTTCTCCGGGTACTTCGGTTTCCTCCCACACTACAAAGACATGCTGGGAGTTGAATTGGATCCTGTCTAAATTGTCCCTAGTATGTGTATGTATGAATGTGAGTTAGGGACCTTAGATTGTACGCTCCTCGGGGGCGGACTGATGTGAATGTACAATAGATATGTAAAGTGCTGCGTAAATTGACAGCGCTATATAAGTACCTGAAATAAATAATTCTATCATTTGTCATGTGTAAAATGACAGTGTGCCTGCGTGGGTTTCCTCCTGGTACTCCAGTTTCCTTCCACACTACAAAGACATGCTGGGAGTTGAATTGGCTCCTGTCTAAATTGTCCGTAGTATGTGTATGTATGAATGTGAGTTAGGGACCTTAGATTGTACGCTCCTCGGGGGCGGGGACTGATGTGAATGTAAAGTGCTGCAATAAATACCTGAAATAAATAATTCTATCATTTTTGCTGTGTAAAATGACAGTGGAGATATATATTTATATATATATATATATATATTATAAATAAAAAAAAATTTAAAAAATTGTTAGACGAATGCAACAAGCATTTGCTGATCCCTCATGAATTTTGACCATATTTTGCTTGATTTCGGCTCCATCTAGCAGCCATAATGTGGTATTTGTCCTAATGGAGGTATTTTAGGGAAAAATACTGCATTATGGCCAGTAGGTGGTGCTGAGAATTATAGGAAATCAACCTGTTAAGCAGTTTGGATTTCTGTTTTTTTTTTTTTCATAGACACCTAAAACTGTGATTCTGGCACTGAGCATTGCAAACTCATTTACAAATTAGGATTATTTCCTTAATTCAGTGCTTTTTTTTTTTTTCTTTAATTAGACATTAAAAAAAAGTTAACAAAACTAATTAGGAAAAAAAAAGTTTGAATGTTAATAGTTAGAAAACATAAATAAATATTTTTTAAAAAAAAGAGGGGGAAGGAAGAGTCAATTAGGGTCAGTTATGGCAAACTAAGGGTTAGTAAGGAATTTAATAAAAAAAATTAAAAAAAAACAAAACATCAGAAACTTTTACTGACATCATATGCAGATGGAAGCTCATCCCTGATCTGCAGTTGGATGAAAAACGTATATGATACAAAAGTAACAATGTATCTTCAGCTCTTCCTAATGAACAACGTTTGTAAACATTGTAATTGTTTGGCAGCATCTGCAGCTACTGTATTTACACAACAACTTGGGCCGGCCTCACCTTGTGTACGAAGTTGGCGATATTTATGATGCGCTGTTTGGTCTTCTCCAGGTCCATGTTCTGTTTTCTGTACTGTCAGTCAGAGAAATGTCAGTTAAGATGCTTATCAGACGCTCTCCAGCAGGATGGACGCTGAATGATACCAAACCATGGTAGAGAGAGAGGAGGAAGAGAAGGAGGGAGAGGAAAGAGGGAGAGAGAGAGGAGAGAGGAGAGAGGGAGGAGAGAGAGAGAGGAAAGAGGGAGAGAGAGGAAGAAGAGAGAGAGAGAGGAGAGAGAGAGAGAGGAAAGAGGGAGAGAGAGGAATAAGAGGAGGAGGAGAGGAGAAAGAGAGAGGAAAGAGGGAGAGAGAGAGAGAGAGAGAGGGAGAGAGAGAGAAGAGAGAGGAAAGAGAGAGAGAGAAGAGGGAGGAGAGAGAGGAAGAGAGAGAGAGAGAGGAGAGAGAGAGAGGAAAGAGGGAGAGAGAGAGTGAGAGAGAGAGAGAGAGAGGAGTAGAGGAGAGAGGAGAGAGAGAGAGAGGAGAGGGAGAGAGAGGGGGAGAGAGGGAAGAGAGGAGAGAGAGAGGGAGAGGGGGAGGGGGAGAGGGAGGATGAGAGGGGAGAGAGGGGGAGCGAGAGAGAGAGAGAGAGAGCAAGGGGGTGAGAAGAGGAGAGAGAGAGAGAGAGAGGGGGGAGAAAGAGAGAGAAAGAGAGAGGATGGGAGAGAGAGAGAGGGGGGGGAGGAAGAGAGAGAAGAGGGAGGAGAGAGGAGAGAGAGAGAGGGGAGGGAGGGGGGGGGGTTGAGAAAAAGAAAGAGGAGAGAGAGAGAGGAGAAAAGACAGAAGAAATAGGAGGAAAAAAAAAAAAGTGGGAGGAGAGAGAGGAGACCAAAGAGAGAGAGAGAGAGAAGGGAAGGGAGAGGAGGAGAGAGGGAGAGAAGGGAGAGGAGAGAGAGGGGAGAAGAGAAAAAGGAAAAGAAAGAAAGAGGAGGATGGGAAGATGGAGAGAGAGAGGGGGGGGGGGGATGGGAGAAAGGAGAAGAGGGAGAGGTAGGAGAGAAGGAGAAGGGGGGGGGGGTTGAGAGATAGGAGGAAAGGGAGGGAGAGAAGGTGGGGGAGGGGGGGTGAGAGGGAGGGGGAGGGAGGGAGAAGGTGGGAGGAGGGAGGTGGAGGGAGGGAGGTGAGGGGGGAGGGGGGGGAGGGGGAGGGGGGGGAGGGGGGGAGGGGGGGGGGGAGGGGGGGTGGGGGGGGGGGGTGGGTGAGGGGGGGGGGAGGGAGGGAGGGGGGGGGAGGGGGGGGGGGGGGGAGGGGGGGGAGGAAGGGGTTGGGGGGGGGGGGGGGGGGAGGGAGGGGGGGGGGGAGAGGGGGGGGGGGGGGAGGGGGGGGGGAGGGGGGGGGGGGGAGGGGGGGGGGGGGGGGGGGGGGGGGGGGGGGGGGAGGGGGGGGGGAGGGGGGGGGGGGGGGAGGGGGGGGGAGGGGGGGGGGGAGGGGGGGGGGGGGGGGGGGGGGGGGGGGGGGGGGGGGGGGGAGGGGGGGGAGAGGGGGGGGGGGGGGGGGGGGGGGGGGGGGGGGGGGGGGGGGGGGGGAGGGGGGGGGGGGGGGGGGGGGGGGGGGGGGGGGGGGGGGGGGGGGGGGGGGGGGGGGGGGGGGGGGGGGGGGGGGGGGGGGGGGGGGAGGGGTGGGGGGGGGGGGGGGGGAGGGGGGGGGGGGGGGGGGGGGGGGGGGGGGGGGGGGGGGGGGGGAGGGGGGGGGGGGGGGGGGGGGGGGGAGGGGGGGGGGG